CTGCTGTAAGACGTAGCTGATCCCATGTCATTCCGATTTTACAATCCTCTATTATGACTCTCCTGGTCCTATCTTCCCAAGGTGAAGAAGTTTGTGTTTAACCTTTTCTACTATGTAAGTTGTTTCACACCCTCCATGATTTTCATCACTCTTTTCCACTTCACGTTTCACTGTGCAGAGCTGAAAACAACATGAACTAAATAGGTCTTCTGACCTTTCTCTTCCTAAGAATTCCTACCATTGCATGTTCTTTTGACTGCTTCGGAGCACTGAGGTAACATTTTCACAGAACTATCCATGCAAATACTAAGAAAATCTTTGATATGAATGTACCTGGGGGTGCTGGTTGGCAGCAGGCTCAACAGCAGTCAACAGCGTGCCCTGGCAGCCAAGAGGGAAAACCGCATCCTGGGGTGCATCACACACAGCAGGACCAGCCAGGCAACAGAGGGGATCACCCCACTGTATTCAGCATTGGTGCAGCCTCGCCTTGAGCACTGTGTGCAGGGCTGGGCCCCTCGATTTAAGGATGGTCCTTGAATGCGTCCAGAGGAGGACAGCAGTGCTGATGGAAGGGCTGGAAGGAATGTCCTGTGAGGAGTGGCTAAGGACTTTGGGCTTGTCTAGTTTGGGGAGAAGGCGGCTGAGGGGTGACCTCATCACTCTCTACAGCTTCCTGAGGAGGGGATGTGGAGAGGGAGGTGCTGATCTCTTCTCCCTGGGTTCCAGCAATGGCACACGTGGGAACGGTTCAAAGCTGCACTGGGGGCAGTTCAGACTGCACATTAGGAAGCATTTCTTTACCAGGGGGGTGGTGAAGCATTGGAATGGGCTTCCTAGAGAGGTGGTCGATGCGCCAAACCTGTCAGCGTTCAAGAGGCATTTGGTCAATGCCTGTAACAACGTGCTTCAACTTTTGGTCAGCCCTGAATTGCTCAGGCAGTTGGACTCAATGATCATTGTAGGTTCCTTCCAACTGAAATAGTCTATTCCATTACGTGGTGTTAGGTTTTGCACAGCTACATTAATTTTTGTTTACCAGAACGGAATCTTCTGCTATTATCCAGCCACTAAGTTTTGTAACAGCCTCCTGAAAACATTCAAAATAACCTTTTTTTATGGAATGTCTTTGTATCGTGGGCAGAATTTGCCACTTAGTAATTCCTTTTTTCAGATCACTGGATTCCCGTAGGTCTCAGGTGTTAAGCTTCTTCCATTGTGAAAATACACTATTTACTTTTTCACTTCGTTGCTGAACCAGATCTTCCTTTTTATCTCAGGACAGCTTCTTCTAATCCTAGGATTTAGTTGGTGGACACTATTTAAAGTTTTTGGAAATCTACATTATTGCTGACTGGCTCAACATCCTCATCGCATTCATTAACTCCTTCAAAGAACTGGATTTGTTAAGCTGAGACTTCCCTTCACAAAGAACTATGTTGACTCTTCCCTCTGCGCTGCATTTACCGTTGGGCCTGCTTCCCTTTGTCGTTTCAATCACTTTGTCCAGCGTGAAATTATGCTCAACTGCTGCGTAATCCCTTCAACCGCTTCTGAAAGCCAAAAATACAGCTTATGCCTCACCGTCTTGTGGTGGCGGTTTCACAGAACACCGAGCACAAACAGTGTCCTGAGCCTTACCAGCAGCACGAGAATTAGCAGATCCTGACGGGAAGAGAATGAACACAAAGTAGTAGCACCTTGAGAGATCAAGGAGGAAGACAGTCACATACTGCAAATCAATCAGACTTGGCAGCAGAATGTAATCTTCAAAAAAATGCCACGGGGTGGGGGGGTTCAGAGGAGTATGCCAAGTGCCACGTGTGTCAGTCAACAGCAAGCGCTTCCTCAACACTATTTTGATCCACCTCCATTTGGAAAAACAGTTCTAGATTGCTCAACACCCAAAAGGTGGAAGATAATCAGAAATAACTCAGGGGAATCCAGAAATTATTTTTGCAGATTTGTTTAATTAAGACAAATCGAATCAAGAGGACTAAGAGCATGCGAATTTCAAAAATAAAATGCTTTAAAAAATAAAAAAAAGAAATCGAAGAATGGTGCAGCATGATGAAAATGGTTCTAAAACAGGAAGTAAGAGCATAATTAAGAAAAAAAGAAAAAACAGGAAATCCAAACCTGTGTTTTGGAAAATGTTTCCTAATGACAAGATACATTTAACTGTAGAAGCTGACAAAACCTGACATTTTGCACCATGTAAAAATCTCCCTAGGTCAACTATTTAGGTTGCAGAATTCTAAGACCCATGAGCCCACTCTTTTGGTAACTCTCTAGTCGAGGTCCTTGTATGATGGATTTGTCACAAATCTGCTCTGAAAGACTTGGAAGGAAGAGTGAATTAGAACGACCACCCAGCCTGAGCGTCTCCGTAGAGACGGAAACTTCACGCAGTAGTTGCCCTAAGACACCAGCATGAAGAACAGAGGTGTAACTGCCCAGCTACACATCTTCCCTGACCCTCCCAGCTCATTTACTTTCGTATGAAGTCAGCACATTTTACTACCAAGGACTAGTTAATATTTGGCAAGTTAACCTTTGCCTCTCAGCCAACTGCCAAAACTCGCCGCAACATGGCCACTTGTGAAACGAACCGGGTCTCAGCACACATTTACCGGGGAACAGACATCGTCCTGGCTATTGCCAGTGGTTACCCAGTCATTACATTGTTCATTTCTACCCTGTACAGGCAGCCGGAGTCCCCGCTGACACAGGTATAGCACAAAAAGGGCCGACAAGGAAGGTGAGGTGGGACAAGGGCCTGTAGTGACAGGACAAGGGGTAACGGGTTTAAGCTGAAAGTGGAGAGATTTAGATTGGACATCAGGAGGAAATTCTTCCCCGGGTGGGTGGGGAGGCACTGGAACAGGTTGCCCAGAGAAGCTGTGGATGCCCCATCCCTGGAAGTGTTCAAGGCCAGACTGGATGAGGCTTTGAGCAACCTGGTCTAGTGGAAGGTGTCCCTGCCCATGGCAGGGGGGTTGGAACTAGATGGGCTTTAAGGTCCCTTCCAGCCCAAACCAGCCTGTGATTCTATAAAACGACAGCTCATTTCACAGTAATCAGGATAAAATTTACTTCTCTCAAGAAAAGCTCTCATCGGCGCTTTATGAGCACTCATTTCCCCAGACAGTGGGAGCACACCCTACGTATCCCGCTTGCTTTACAGCACGTGCCACAATAGTCCAGGTTTCCTAGAGTGTTCAGCATTACAGCCACTGGATCAAGAAGAACTCAGCAGCACAGACTCCACGTTTAATTCTCTGTAATTTATAGACACGGATGGCATTAGCCAGCCAAGCCTTTAAGCCGGAGCATCTGCTCAGATACAGAAATAAATACGATCTGGGGGACTCTTCTTATCCTATTTGTTATTAATGCTTAATCCAGGTAGAATTAATAACAATACGTTTGTGCAACAGCAGCCAACAGAGGGAGGAACTCACCTGTGCATAAAATCACCTTCTTTATGAAGTTCTTCATGAAAAAAAAAAACCCTGAAACATGTTGATGCTCAGTTTCTGGTGAAGGCACTACGGGAGTTCCTGCAGATCCTCGGAGCTTTCCGCTTACCACTGAACAGGCTTGCTCTACTCTGCTCATGAAGAAAAAATAATTATTAAGAAATAAGTACAGCACATTTAGAGTTTGTTTTATATTAAAAACACAAATTAAACCCAGCACATTTCCTCAGAAGCTAGAAACCTCCCTTCTGCAAACGGGTCTTTTTTTTTTTACATCACATACAACCTACCACACAAGACCGATGGTATTCAAAATCATACGAATCTTTTGGTACCCATGTGCCTTGTATTGCTCTCCCACCAGGCAGCCCTCTAGGCTCCGCGTGCCGCGCTCTGCGTTCAGCCAAGAGCCATAAAGGCGTGAAGCTCACAGAATGCCAGTGGAGTCCTTGCCTATGAGGAGATCATCACTGAAACGGATGATCTTCGCCTGCTCCCATGTGTCAGTTAACTGAGGCTGACTGCCTGGAGTACGTAAACAGAATGGCACAGTGAAGTTCTAAGTCTGAATAGAGAAAATAAGTGTTCCTGAATCACCTGCAGCATCGTGAGATGGAGACACACTGGTTTTGCCACTTGTAATACAGGTCGGCACGATCCCCAGCAAGGAAAATGGGATGAAAGAAGATCAGAGAACTTTTATCATCTCAAGTGGATTATTCCTCAGGCTGCCTTGGTATGTTCAGGATAACCTTCAAGGAGAGACTCCGGTACGTTGGGATTACCTCTCTCCAAGCATTAGACTGTCTCAATACTTACACCCAATGAGGCCAATCCTACATTCCATGCACTATCAGGAGGAGGAGATGTACAGTTCTGCATTCTGCTGAAAGAGACTAACCACAGATCTTCACCAACATAGCAAGGGCTTGGAACAATCACGACCTCCGCAGTCCCCACCACCTGCTTCACAACAGTTCACCGAGGCTCATTCACTCAAGCACAAAGCCGAGAAACCTCCTAAAATTCAGCCTGGTGGATTCCAAGTTGTTTGACAACCTGTCATTAAAGGGTACAAACTGTACTTTTGACGCCGACCTCGTGAACCCCAGCCACAGAGAAATGAAAAGAAAACTCGGGTCCAGTTCTAACGTTTCATGTTTAACTTCCTACCTGGTCTCCTCTTCCTGCCCATCACGTGAAACAGTACATAATCCCTTTGATCTCTGCCTGCTCTCCTTCCATGCACACTTCCTTCCTTTCCTTCCTCTTTCATGTACCACACTGAATCTAAGTTCAGAGAAATGTGGCTGAGATTAGAAATAACTGGGTTTGAGAGACTTGTAGGAGTGGATTCTCATTATTAAGCCTTTGCTTTCTGTATCAACCCCCAAATCTAGCCTACCTGCAAAACAGAGACAAACACAAATAAAAGAGATTGTGCCACAGAATGAAAAAACTTTCATTTTTAAGAAAGTATCTTTGAAGATTCTGTCAAGTAATGGGTTGAAGGAATCTAAGTACCAAACTAAGACATTGTATCACAAATCTGACTCGTTTACACCAGAAACTACCCAAGGAGATTGTCTAGAAAATAAAGAGGATTTCAACCATAAAGGAAAGCACACGATGGCCAACATCCTCCTCTATGTAACTCTGTACATTTGTACACTGCACCTTGAGATTCTTACTACACAAGAAAGGGTGCTGGGGCTTTTCTCCTTCCCCACCCCGCCCCCAACGAACATGTTCTCTAGAACATTATTGCTAGTAGACTTTACCTACCTCCACCTTTTCCCTTTCCAGGAATTGGTTCTTAAAAATCCATTTGCTGCATGAAGAGTAAGCGAAGAGCAGCAACACCATTAACACCCAAAGTCAAAGCTCAACAGGGCCCGAAGCTACGCCAAAGCAGCAAGGAAGCGCCGACAGCCAGCAGCTGTAACACAAAAAGGGGCAGGAACTGCTGGCCCTTTCTATGTAAACGATTCCTCTGGCTGTATCACACAGCACGTTAGCCCAACACCACGAAGTTCCTCTTCCTAGAGGGTCAAGTATCTGACAGACAGTGCAGCCAGTTCTTCTTTGAGAAGCTACAAAAGCAAAATCACCCAACTACTCAGCTTAAGGACATCTGAATACTAAATTCTGTACTTAAGACTTCGTTTACGACAGGAATCTGCATCTGTAGAACACTAGGACAAGTCTCAAGTAGAGTATTTCTTCAAATAAGAAGTGTGGCACCATTCCTAACTGGTACAGTGATGACACGGATAACTGGTGTTGTTTACCAACCATTTACTGGCCATTCCATTCCCCTTTTCCACACCGACGTTTCGCTTGTAAAATGAACCGCAAAGCGTCCAAGTGTCTCCAAATGAAAACTGAATCATCTATGAGAAGTTACTTTATTTCCTTTTTTTAAATATACATATACAACATATTTTATTTCAAAAGCACAAGAACATTATACAAGTTTCAAATTTACATTTTTGCAATTAAAGATACCAATATGTGCATTATCAAATGACTTCTTCTGTCAGCTTGGATGGAACAGAAATCAGTGGCACAAGCATCTTGCGATCACTAAATACAGATTATACTCACAGTGAACAAAGCTGCATAGTAATTTATGAAATGTAGGATGACCACGCTCGCCAGTGACTGATGTGGGAGCCCATTCGCTGAATTAGCAGGTGCCAATGTACAGAAAGAGGCAGCTTTCCTCTCCCACTTCTTCAGCGACCAAGAGATTTCTAGAGCTTTCAACGCCAGCTCACCGTCTCAGCCCAGCTCCCATCTTTATCCGCTGCAGTTCAGACAGAGAACAAAATGAAGTGACCTCACGGCAGGTTTGATCACGGAACCTCTGTATCGGTGAAGTGCAAGGTAACGGAAAGGTTCTGATAAACGAATAGGTAAATATCAGAGGGAAACAGTGAGTGAGTGCAGGTTGGGTACCCATGAGCCATATGTTTCCTAATCTTAATCCAACTTTTTTGTTGGTAAGAAGTGTTTGGATGACTTTGGGAATCACTGGTGCATATGAGGGTTCGTGACATCTGGTACTCTAAAGTTGGTATGCGTTTCAAACACATTTTAGAGAAGACTAACAGAATTAATGTTTGTCTTTTTGAAGAGTTTCACATTCGGGTTTAAAATCTTGAAGAATCAAAATAAGGACAATGGACTTAATTGCAAGAAACAGAATGCCTGAAAAATAAAGCAAAGCCAACTATTTATATGCCAGGGGAAGCATTACAGCAAACGTTATAAAAAAGCTTTTGAAATCAGAACAATATTTGAGTTGATGGTATTCCATTTTTAGGTGAGTTACGGTGTTCAGTGCACTCATAGGTACTCTAAAAACTTTAAAAAGCTAGGAGAACAGTGATATTTAAATCTAAATAACTATTTGTGATTCTACTATCTCTCATACAATCAGTAACAAGAAAAAAACCCAACATACAAACCCACACTCTGACACGTTCATTTGAACCTCCCCTTGCAAGCCTTATTAAAATGCCACAGGAGCATCCAACTAGCAAAGGGGTGGGGAAATTCAGAGTACTGGCAACTTCAAACTTTCACACAGAAATGGGGATTTCCCGGGAAAGCGTTTTTACCCGTTACGTGACAAATTCTCTAATGTACATTTTGCCTGGAATTCAGAAAACAGAACAACAAACATTTAGAACTGAACCACAATCACGTATCACTGAGAGAGAGTTCAATCACAATGCCCTATGAACTACAGAAGGGCAAAGAGAAAGACTTAAGACACCTTTTTTTGCCCTTTTCTGCTCTAACTAGCACTGGGCATGCCCCCCCTCAAAGACATTTAGGCAGGCAGGGCTCCAAACAATAGTGACAGAGGATGAAGAGTGGAACATACCTCCAGCATGGGCAAACTTATTTCTGCTTCTAAAACTTGCTGCTCTGGGGCCTTGACTTTAGTCCAGAGATAGCTTTGAAGATCATCTACTTTACTGAAGTCTCTGGCTCTTGTGTAACCTGCAGAGCTACTCTACAACTACCTAACAGTATTTTCACATTTGGTTCCTGGGGAAAATCTCAGAAGACAAACGGTCCAAGAAGTCAAACTAACCCCAACCTAGCCAGACGGTGCAGCCTGAGGGTACACAACATTCATAGAGGGCAGATTCATTAGATAAAGTGCACTTCTGGCAATGCAAAAAGCACAGACTTTATTTTTTGATGCAACAAGCAAGATGGTAATTCCCCCATGCACTTTCTATCCCACACTTCGCCTTTAAAGAGTTCATTAATGAAAACTCTTAATTAAATCCCAGGATATAGCTGAATGCAGGCTTTTTCTGCACAACTTCGTTTGCTGTACCTGTGGCCGCAGATTCCTAAAGGCCTGGCACCACTTCCACTCCAGTATTATGCCACAGATCTTGACCTATTTAAAAGCCTCAGGTAGCTTGGGAAGAGAACCCAGGAAGAAAGTAAAGGAGGCTTTTCCATGGCAACACCATTTAGGTATATTCTCAAGGCATGGAGGAGGCAGAAACGTGGTACGTGCCCTGAAGCACAGCATTTGGGAAGCTGTCCTTGGTCAAAACGTGACACAATTGCAACTCCTCCAAAAGGGTGGTAATACATCTGGACCTGAACGTATAGTAATAGTTCTGTAATGTGGTTTTCCTTTTTTGGGGAAAATAAAAAGAGCAAAACATATGATGTGAGATTCTGCTTCAATGCACCAGTAATACATCCAACCTAGAGAAACCATCAATTGTGTCTGAACTACAGAATCCACTTGAGAGTAGATTATTTACTGCTACCTCCTTTCCTCTTCCAAAGCACTGCCAAAGGTAAGAGTTTTCACTAAAAAGCAAGAGACTCAGAGCAGTTGCCAGTTGAATCCAAAGAAGATCTGATTCGTTTCTTGGCTCCTGGCGATCTCCTCTATGATGCAGTGTTGCTGCCACAGCAAATGGAGCTTCCGGTAACGCTCCCGACATAAGTGGAGGGGGTTGCCTCTTCTTCACAGAAGAAAAAACAAGGAGAAGACGCAGTAAGCACAGCAGAAAAGCAACGGGAAAACTGGTCCCTTAACAGCCAGCATTGACACTCTTAACAACAGCCAGAAAACATTAAACACCGGTATGAACACCAGTTCCAACAAGCCTACTTGGAAATTAAAGAAAATCCTACGTGCGACAGGCACCGACTGCCGCTTCCAAGAAGACGTGTCAGCAATGGCAGTGGTTGCACGTTCCTGAGGAAAAGTGTACCAAGTGTTCTTGAGAAAAGTAAGAAAGTTTAACAGTACCAAAAAAAGTATAGTTCTCCATTATGAATGACCCATTCGTGACTGTCAGGAATCTGAAGTTAAAGGAGCTCACCAGGCCAAGACACAGATTGGAGTGCTGTGCATGCTAGCAGGAAGAACACGTTGTCTAATGGGTCTAAGAAAGTGAGCAATACTGACATGGAAATGGAGGAAGAAAGTCAAACATTTACTTACTTCAGACCTGGATCTGTTTCTCCATATTCATCCAAGTAGGGAGCAGGATATAAGCAGCCCCTTGTCTTACCTTCAATGAGGACAACTTTGCATTCCCTGATTCTTAAGGAAAAAAATAGCTACATTTAAAATACAAGACAACTTCAACTAGCTATATACCTGCAATTTTAAGTCAAAGCAATGTTTCGTCTCAGACAATGTACTGGGTTTGTATGGCAAGGTTTTGGTAGCAAGGCCTGGGGGTGGGGGATACAGGGGTGGCTTCAATGAGAAACTCCTGGAAGCCTCCCCTCTGACAGCGCCAATGCCAGCCGGCTCCAAGACAGACCCAACACTGGCCAAGGCTGAGCCCATCAGTGATGCTGGTAGTGCCTTTGGGATCACATGTTTGACAAGGGGCTGCAGCAGAGAGAGGAGCGGGGTGTGAGGGAGACAACCAGGCAGACATACAGGTCAGTGCAGGAAGGCAGGGAGGAGGTGGGCCTGAACAGAGGTTCCCCTGCAGCCCGTAGTGAGAGGGCAGGCTGTGCCCCTGCAGGCATGGAGGGTCACAGGGGAGCAGAGACACCTGTGCAACCTGGGGGGGACCTCATGATGGAGCCCAGGCTGTGCCTGAAGGAGCCCCTGACTCTGGGGTAAGCCCACGCTGGAGCAGGCTGCTCCTGAAAGACAGGGACCCACACTGGAGCAGTTCGTGAAGAACTGCAGCCCGTGGGAAGAAGTCCATGGAAGACTGTCTCCCGTGGGAGGGACCCCATGCTGGAGCAGGGGCAGAGTGTGAAGTGTCCTCCCTCTAAGGAAGGAGTGGCAGAAACATGCAATGAACTGACCACAGCCCCCCTCCCTTTCCTTGTCCCCCTGTGCTGCTTGGGGGGAGAAGGTGAGAAATTGGGAGTGAAGTTGAGCCCAGAAAGAAGGGATGGGCGGGGGGAAAGGTGACTTGATCTTTTGACTTAAGATCTGATTGGCAATAAATCAATTTTCTCAAATTAGAGTCAGTTTTGCCCGAAAGAGTAACTGGTGAGCGATCCCTCCCTGTCCTTATCACGACCCACGAGCCTTTCCTTATATTGTCTCCCCCCTGCCCAGCTGAGGAGGGCCGTGACAGAGCAGCTTGGGGGGGCCCGCTGCAAGACAGGGCCAACCCAACAAAGACCAAAAAAAAAAAAAAAAAAATCAAGTGCTTGGACAATGCTGTGAATTTTGACCTTCAAATATTTCCTTTTACTCTCTAACACATGAAATTCTGGCTAGCTACTTACTTGAGAAACATACAGACTCCAGCTCCACATTGAAGAGCATGAGAAGTACAGGCTCCCAGCTCCTCCCCATTCACCAGTTCCTGGCAGCAAGTATTCTGGGAACACAACATAGCCCCACAGAATAAACACAATACTGGATGTTTTTGTTCATCATCAGAAGACCGCGGGCATCTAGAAGAAGCGTAACCAGAAAGTTACTGCAAGAATTACAACCTTACAAGAAATGTTAACTACGGATAATTTTCCTTAAAAAACAACAACAAAAAAACCTAAACGAAAGCCCAAGCCACAGACAGACAAAAACCTAAGACATACAATGTTCTAATCATATTTCAAGTATCTGCCAATCACATCATATTTTATCTGCAAGGTATCTGCTTTGAGCAGGAGGTTGGACTAGATGGTCTGCTGAAGTCCCTTCTAACCCAAATTACCCTATGACTCACTCCTCCTGGCACAGAACAGTGCCAACCTGTCAGGCTTGTTGTGTCCAGTGCAAAAATAATGTGGAGGCTTGTGGCCAAACCCAGCTCACACTGCACTGGTGAAAAACGACCAGCAGACGAAGCTCTAATAATTGTACGTGCTATCCTATCAAACACAAGTGACTTCTTGCAGTAAGCTGTCGTGTTTGATTTGAAATGAAAGTGCGTTAGAATTGGCCAGTATAACCAAAACAGTGCCTTCACTTCTGCAATGTAAGTTTTGCATGTGGCTGTAACACCAGTTCCAGCATCTGCAAGAACATAAGAGTGACTAAAAGCAACAAAAAACATAGGACGACAATTAAATATGTCACATCTTACCTAAACTGAGAGGCTTGGTTCAGAAGGCAGCTATAGTCTTCAGGAAGCTCTATTAAACTATTTCTTTTCCGAAGATACCTGGGTAAGTGAAGAAGAGCTACTGTAAGAACAGTAAAGATCGCAGCAAAGAACAGAACGGACAGCTATACATGCCTGCTAAGCTTTCAGTCCTGTCTGCAAACTTCTGCAGTTTCAGAGCAGTTCTTCAGTCCTACAAGCCCAAGTGAGAGGCTCCACATGTGAGCTTCAGCATTTCTGCATGCCAGCAACGGTGACGAAATTCAATTTCGTACGTAACCTACCTATGTGAAGGCATTTCACCTTCCAGGTAGCTTTTGGTTTTTCCTAGAGTAAGCTAGATAACTTGTCTAGCAATGTTGTACATTCTCAATGAAGGGGCACAGCAGGAGGGATAACAACCATTTGAAGAGAAATGCACTTTTGGTAGTAGAGGCGGAAGAAGAAAATACAAGCACTCTAACTCACCCACAACAAGCACTTTGTTCCTTCAACAGTTTTAAGTCAAAACCAGTGGAAACCAACAATAACCACAAAAAAATCCAAACTTACCTTATTGCAATGCTCTTCCCCTTCAGACAACTTAATACCACTGGGTCAGTACACCACCTATTTCAAACAAACGTTTGTTTGCAGGTGACATTGTTTGAGAACAAGATACATTTGGGATCACTAAACAAAGCCAGTAAGCCAACACAGAGCACAGGTAAAGCCTTGATAGCTCTAGCTAAAACTCCACGAGGTGGAACAGCTGTCCTTTACAGTTCTGCTTCAAGAAAAGAATTTAAGCTTGTATACAAGAGAAAAACCTCTGTGAAAAACAACACCACTTAAAATTACCAACACGCACGTGAAAGCGCAGACTTTAAAAATGCAAGCAGCCTTCAGACATATTCAAGTTCCCAAACTGGGCTACAATACACAGCTCCTCCTGGAATATATCTGCTGAGAGCCACAGCGTATGAAAATATGCTACACTCTATTGGGGAAACAGTTATTGCTTTCATTTAGTAACCATCACCCAAAGGTTATTTTACGATGCTTTGTAACATATTGTATGCCTGCTCTGAATGGCCAAATGTGTCTGCCAAAACAATGGCAGACACCGACAGGTTACCACGCAGAGGAATTGGTATGTCTAAGGTATCTTTTAAAGTTATTTCTACAAAAAGAAGGGAGAGAGAAGTGTAGCAGATGGTCAATCCAGTAAGCTTCATTTAACACATTTCTCAATCATCAAATTTAGTCTTCTGAAAAAAAGATTCTTTCAGCAAACATACGGGAACGTGCATGAGGATTTGACAAGTGTTACTATTACAGAAAATATGTAGCCTCCTGCTTGAAACCTCTGGTTTTGACTGGGAGCACTACAATGGATTTATTATCCCTGCCTCGAGGGATCCTTTTCTAATGTTCACAAGCACCTGACCTCTATGCTCGCTTATAAGCACCGTTATGTCTCTGAGCAAACATGTAGGAACAGATAAAACCAACTTATTACATAATTTACTTGTGAAAATGCTATTCATTTATAAGTAATTATATATACTACAAATGCAATTAATCATAGTAAAATTCTATGTAGGGAATTGCTTCGGTCAGCTATATGGGCTGTAAGTTGGGGTCAACAACAAAATGTCCCTAAACTGAAGAAATCTAGACAACAAAACAGAACAGAGGTAATACAAACCCAGAAAAAAGATACCATGAGCCAGAGAATTCTGCTAAGAATCCGGAATAACAATTAATGCAACCAAGTGCTCAAACAGCCGCATTAACTACAAGGAGACATCCTCCAACACAATGATGCAGGATTATTCTCAGAGTTGGGGCGTGTGTGTGTGTGTGTGTGTGACTGCTTATTTTAACTTGTGTTTTTCACTGGAGAGTTTTACCAATTATTTCTTTACTGCTAGACTGCAATGTACTTATCACTCAAATTGTACCTTCTAACTATAAGGTAACTACAGCATTCATCGGTCTGTTCTGGCAACCCAGAGACAAAACAGTACAAAGCCTCACCCCGCCAGCTACATCATTTTCCATATTCTCATGTCCTACCTTGTGGCCACTTCTGCTGTAGACAGATTAAAAGAAGGCCAACGAACAGCCAGTGGCACACCACGCAAGCAGAGGTTCATGTTAACTTCTTTCTGTGTGAAAGTTTTCACGTAGGTCTGCAAGCACTAGCCCCTTAAACTCTAACTGTTTAATTTTATTACTATAAGATACAGAATTTTTTATGTCTCTGGAGTGCTTTAAGAGATATACCTGTGCATTCCAAACAAATGTTTAGAACTCTAATATGAATTTGAGCTCATTTATTAACAAATTTCATCCAGAATTCCCCTAGGGCCATCACAACAGAAAAACGTGGCCTGCCCAGTCCCAATCAGTACCTTTGAAGCAGTGGATTTACTGTGTCCCAATATTCCTGGAAGAGCAGGAACAAATTGGTAGGTAGAGAGAGGTAACTACAAAGTGCCTTGAATTGCCCTTCTTCAGAACCTGCGAAAGAAAATCATGAACAACTGTTAAAGTGTTTCAGCACTGCTGAATAATTCACTCAAAACTAGAGCTCTCCTGATCCCTATTCCATTGAATAATACATGTCTTACAGCTCCAGCACAGCTCCTAGCTAGTACAGTGGGATGTAATTCCACTGACTTAATCACAGCTATAATCATCTGCATTAGCTAAGGACCTGCTTTACATTTAACAAATTTGCCATAGATTATTGAGTAATTTTTAATTCATGCGTAAGTCACTGTAATAACGGAATTCCTTGCATAAAACCCATGTTACTGCATAACACATAGCACACGTGAATGCAGCAGGTTTCTGTACTTACATTTTAACTTTTCCCTACCCTTTTGGCCTGCAGTGCTATTAAATTTTGCTATAACCACGTCAGTGCTAACACATTACATGAAGTTGGGCTAATTTGGGTTTGCTGGGTGGTCATTTATTGGCTCTGCTACAGAAAATGGCATTGCTGATTCACCAGGAATACTCCTCCCTACAGAATCAAAGTTCCAGGCTAATGGTAAGGACAACAGCATATCCCAAAGTGCAGAGTTTGACTCGTGTATCCTAATCAAACTCAAACTTAGTTCCCGGTTTATATAAATCAATTTCAGATGCCACGTTTTGTCTTGGTTGTTCATAGCAGTTTTGGTTCTCCTTTCCAAAGGTTGATGACTGTGTTGCACTGCATTTTGATGGAAGACAAAATACTTATTCGGGGGTTTAGTATCTGTAATGCATTAGCATGCTTTAAGGAAGAGGTTTAAGCTTTCTAATGTGCTTTATTTCTTTATTACTTGCCTCTGCTTTGCTGAATCCCTATGTCTTTAGCATTTACCAACATTAGCAACTGCATAAAAAGGTTTGCTTTGGTGATTTTTTGGGTTTGGGGTTTTTGTGGGTGGTTTTGGGGTGTTTTCTGATTGGTTTGTTGGGTTTTTTTTAAATAAATCCCAGGTTATTTCTCCGGTGATGTAACCTAAGCACCTAGAATTATCCTTAAATCCCCAAACCTTTGTATCGACAAATACTTAGTATCAAACATCATGGATAACTCACATATTTACACACACTCAGAAGTAACTCTTTTTCCAGGCAAAGAAAGCAGAGACAACTCAGCTTCTCAGGCCTGACCCTTCCTGTACAATTTATCACTTCCTTTTCTTTCCAAGTCTTATTTTAATACACTAACTATTAAGTTACTGTGAACATTTAAAAATTCCATTCTTCCAAGAAAACAGTAAACAAAGTCAATATAGAGATACATTTGCTTTCTCATATTTACCTTGTAACAGTTCCTCGGGTGGAGAAACTCCCAGCAAATAATGAAAAAATAAAGCAGCACAACGAAGGTAAGGCATGATGCCTTTTTTAACACAATCCCACACAAACCAGCCTGGAGTATCTTGACTAAAGCAACTGTAATACACAAATGGAAAATGGCTGCAGTCATTCACAGTGCAAATCCTTCACATGGGTAGAGCAGCAGCTGTGCAGAAGCAACATTAATGCACCCCAAACACAGCCACCGGCAACTAACTTCCAACTTCCCCTTTGCCTAAGGACTGAGTACTGAGTTTATGCAGAACACATTAAGCCTTCAAATTATCTCAACTTATGTTTTTCAGAACCATGGCAAACAAACAGTTGCTCCGTAGCTGGCCATTTCTAGGTAAACCAGGATAATCCGATTTCAACTGTGCGGTACAGCATCGCACACAGAGCAACTGATTCTCCTACCAGTTGGTTATTACTGAAAGTCAGCAGTTTTTTGAAATGGTAGAAGTTTGTCATTCAGTTGGTGATTCAAAAATGAGAAAACCAACAAACAAACATAAATACTCTTCAGGAACAACAAAAGCAACATAATTTAAAAAATCAATACTTCACACTTCATTACAGAAGTCACAACAGTAACACTCATTGTTTAAAATAAAGCTCTACTAATCCCATTTTTGACAAAAAATACTGGAGTGATACTCAGTAATTATTCTTGTAGTTTGTGCAATATGAGCATTCAGTTTACATTTCATAGTAAATTTAACTTACAGTGTCCCTGGTTTCTAAAAATTTGAAAACTTAGTTAAACTCACATATATGTGAGCTGGACGTTCACACGAAAGTTGCCCAGGACCTGCTGAGGAACAACCTGTAAAGCTGTATTGTAACAGCGCACACCACTGCAGAATCATTATGCAGGCTGTGCTGCTAAAGCACAGGTAGGTCAGAGGTAGAAGACAACAATGTATACACAGGAATTAAACCACTAGAAGTTTCAGAGCTGCGTTGCCTAAACTTTGGCATTTAATTCTGCCCCTAGGCATCTCACTACAGTGACCTGATTTTCCAAGATTAACAGCTCCTATGATTCTAAACTCACGCCCAGAAAAATTGCTCCTATCATTTAAATACCACATTTTAAATATTTAGAAATTTGGACTTAAAACTTTTAAGTCAAGTGACTAGCACTGTCAGTCCTTGAGAAACAAATCTTTGCATCTAGCCTTGGTGAAGATAAAACAGAATTTGTAGAGGGTTCATCCCTATTTTCTAGTTTATTTCACACACGGACACCTTTGTACTAAAGAGTCTGTAGCAATAGCAACATCCATCCAAAAAGTCTGAAGAGATGGGCACTAATGTTCAAGCAAATAGGCAACTATGTTTAGCTTCACACGCCTTCCCCTTTTATACCAGAACCATTGCATTTTTTCTGTCTTCCAGCTATTACTGAGATCTACTAAACAACCAAGGCAAAGAAAAATAACGAGTATAGTTAGTGGCTGTATTTCTTTCCAGAAAGCATATAGGCAGGTTTTTATCCTTAGACTAAGAATTTACTCTGTCGTCCACAAAAAGTAGCCACTTGAAAAAGTGTTCCTTTCACCAGATTAATTTTTTCAGTGTTCAGGAATATGGTAAGAAAGCCCAAGGCACTGCGCTAAATCCCCATGCAAAATGGATACTGTTTTTTCCTGTTTTCCTCAAGTCAATCCCTGTGGATTGCCATCTTCCTAGGAAAATGCAATGCTGAAACAGAACCGCTACTTACCCACTGGTGTACTGGCAAACCTCTCTACAGAACGCCTGCGCAGAGCATGCCTCCTCACTGCTGTCAGGTGATCGGGCAGTAGGGGATTCTGCACAGAAAGAGAGATGATTCCCACTGGAAATGCACTGCAATTGTGACACACCCACTTCTTTGTTTCCCATATACCGAGCTCTTTTTTTTTTTTATTGCATTACAGAAATATTACCACTTTATTTTTCCTCAACTTCTATTTTGCTGGGTTTAACCTAACAAACGCCCTCCCAAAGCAGCTTGCTATGAAGAAGAATCAGGATTACTGCCTCGTTGCTCATCCTCACAGAAGAACTGCTTCTTTACCTTGAACTTTTGAAGTTATTGTCTACCTGGGCTGTATCAGGAAAAGTGTGGCCAGCAGGTCGAGGGAGGGGATTCTGCCCCTGTACTCTGCTCTGGTGAGACCCCTCCAGCAGTGCTGCGACCAGCTGTGGAACCCTCAACGTAAAAAAGGATGCAGACCAGTTGGAGCAAGTCCAGAGGAGGCCATGAAGATGATCAGAGGGCTGGAGCCCCTCTGCTATGGGGACAGGCTGAGAGAGTTGGGCTTGTTCAGCCTGGAGAAGAGAAGGCTCCGGGGCGACCTCATTGCAGCTTTCCAGTATCTGAAGGGGCTACAAGGGTGCTGGGAGAGGACTTTTTACAAGGGCCTGTAGTGATAGGACAAGGGGTAATGGGTACAAATTGAAAACAGGGAGGTTTAGATTAGATATCAGGAAGAAATTCTTCACAGAGAGGGTGGTGAGGCACTGGAACAGGTTGCCCAGAGAAGCTGTGGATGCCCCATCCCTGGAAGTGTTCCAGGCCAGGCTGGACGAGGCTTTGAGCAACCTGGTCTAGTGGAAGGGGTCCCTGCCCATGGCAGGGGGGGTGGAACTAGATGGTCTTTAAGGTCCCCTCCAACCCAAACCATTCTATGATATTTTTTTAAATTCCCATCATGCTGAAGAAAAAGGAAAGTAGTACCTAGGAAGCCTGTAGGTTACTGACAGTTTTTAACAGTACTGTGAAATGCAAAGAAAAGTGAAATTGTCTCCTATCAGTTTATAGGATTCCATATTTCAACTCTGGGTATTTACTAGGTTGAAAGGTAAAGAAAAGTTCGTTTCTGAAATCCATACAAACTGCCACTGTAGAGCTCAGAATACTGCTGCTGGGCAGAGTTTTGCTTCTCCTACAAGGAGTGAAGAGGGGAAAGGCACCACGCTGGAATGACTGCCTCGAGCAAGTACTGGTACGTCAGTAATTATTTTGTATTCTTCGGCTAGGTACACAGAAGGGATATAACAAAATGCTCTGAAAACAATGCAGTGCTATTTATTTTTCTTACCAGAAAAAGTTATGACTACCTACCACTGTAATTTCTGATGTTCATACCCAGAAGACATTAACGGTGTTCATGCATTATTTCTAAGAAATTGTGTAAAATGCCAGAGTAATCCACCCAAAACACACCTCTACCTGTTGCTGAAGAGACGACGATTTGTGTCATGTGTGCCAGTGTTGTCAGATGGAAGAGGTAGAGGTGGTTATAGGCTGAACTAATTGACGAGGGTTGCAAGTCTACAGCATCCTCCCAGTACAGAGATGGAAAGGATAACACAACTCCCACCTAGAGTGAAAAGGAAGAAGCAAATATTAAAGAAATTTAGTAATAGCTATATGGGTAATAGAAATTACATTCTCACTAAGCATTTCTATTTCATTTCTGTAGTCAATTTAAATACGTTTATCTTGCTAGTTTTAATTCACCAAGTGTAGCAAAAACTCTCTGGAGAATATTAACCACTGGTGCCCCTTCAGGATGTAGGAAACTCAGATACAGTTCCCTTGCAATTGCCAGTTTAGAGATACACCAAGAAAGCTTGGCCAGTTCTTAGAAAGATTAACTTTTGGTTTTTAACATAAGACAAAGCACATGGAAAAAAGTGAGAAGCAACACCAAGCATTAGTCAGAAAGGCAACTAGGGCAAACCAGGTTTTCTTTTGTTGGGTTTGGGGGTTTTTCTGTTTGGGTTTTGTTGGCTTTTTTGTTGTTAGGTTTTGTTGAGGTTTTTTAACAGTAGAAAAGACTGTAAGTCAGACTTGTAATAAGAAAGAAGAGGCTAAGTAGAGTAAAGAAGGTAATGAGAGTGAACGTGAAGGAATGAGGAGGTGTGAGAGGCCTACTGAGACAGAGGGAAAGCGAGGGAAACAAGCTGAGTGGGTGCATTTCCTGGTTTTTTTTTTGAGGTTTGACAGCAATGGAGGTGGTAGAATATGACTGAGATTGCAATCATAATACTTAGTAAGGGTGAGGCAGCAAAGATTTGAAAGCTAGAAGAACAGCAGAACTAAGAGTAAACACGCCTATATAGCAGCCACAGGGAATCATTTGCTTGCATGCAGTGCTCATGTATAATCGTCTGACTCCTGCAAGTGAACAGATAATGTAGGACTACATACTACTACTACCTCATTGCAGCTTTCCAGTATCTGAAGGGGGCCTACAAGGGTGCTGGGAGAGGACTTTTTACAAGAGCCTGTAGTGATAGGACAAGGGGTAATGGGTACAAATTGAAAACAGGGAGGTTGAGATTAGATATCAGGAAGAAATTCTTCACAGAGAGGGTGGTGAGGCACTGGCACAGGTTGCCCAGAGAAGCTGTGGATGCCCCATCCCTGGAAGTGTTCAAGGCCAGGCTGGATGTGGCTTTGAGCAAACTGGTCTAGTGGAAGGTGTCCCAGCCCATGGCAGGGGGGGTGGAACTAGATGATCTTTAAGGTCCCTTCCAACCCCAACCATTCTATGATTCTATGATTCTATGACTATCTACAGGGTGAAGCACACCAAAATCCATGCTCAAAAAGAAAAAAAAGTGTTAATTTGAAGAATAAAATGAACCTGCTTACCAAAATGTGGAACATATCTACTTCTAAGAGGGATGGAGTGTCTTCTGCTTTAAAGTTTGGTAGAAGAACTACAAAAGAAAGATACTATCAGTTACGCTTTTCATATATATTTTCTTCCTTTGGATTGAACTGCAATATCAGAATCTGACTTTAAAGCTTCTATCATTTCTGTGTTTTCATCAAAAAATGTCCCAAGTCTCTGAACTAAGAAAGTATGTATTTAAATAACTGTTTACCACTTAATTGATTGTGCATCTGTTTAGCCACTTCGCAATGCCCAACCAGCTCACAATTTCAATGACTGTATCTTCAAAATTCTGAGATAAAAATCTTTGATTTACTTCTCCAGCTCTAATAAAGCAGACACAGTGTTAAGGGCGAAATCCACGAATGTGTTTAGGCACTTCAACACTAGATGCCTCACAGCCTAGCGCAAAACAAAAGCCTCAATCACACCTAAGATTCCTATTGAATGGAAGGCAAGTCAAAGAATGGGATTCACAAAGGCCACCATGCTAACCTAATCAGTAAGAAACACAGAGGACAGCTGTGTGCCTCAAACTAGCTCTCCCCGAGACAAAAATATCTTCAGCTAGGCTGAAAGCCGTCTTCTGAAAGTACTAGAAAGATGAAGTCTCAAAATCAAGAGACAAGAACAGCTGTTTAGCACAGAATTTGAGTAATTTTCAACACTGCCAGAAATAACCATCTGTAAATGTTCCAGATCTGACTATCTCCAGCCCTAGGTAATCTGGGATAGAGGATTTTTGAGGACTTCAGTGATACAGGGCTGGGTTAACAGAATTATTGATTACTTAAGTTCAAGCAATACTCCATGATTTCAGGCAACATCAGAGAAACTGAAGTTGGCACTGCTGTCAGTAGTCTAACGTTTGCTTCTGTGCTCTACTGATCTGTGTGTGCCATGCTGCAACAGAAATTCCTGCAACACAAAAGGTAGTAAAGAAAAGGAATACAGTACCTCCTAAAAGACGAATCAGATGTTTCTGAATCAGGACCTGTGGTGATGTTGTCCTCTGAGCAGCTGCAAACTGCACTAATGCTTTAAGGCCACTGTGCTACAGTGCAAGAGAAAATGGTTGGACAGTTGAAGAGGAAAGAAGTAAGAGTGATATAAAGCTGTAAAAACATATCTACCTCTACAAAGAGAAAACACTCATAAGTGAATTTAATAGGAACTTCCATGTATAAGTAGAAACATTATTCTTCCAAAATGCTCATTATGTTACCGATCTAAACATTTTTAGAGCTATTCCTCAACAGAGAATGATCTTGATGTTAACAGTTTCACAGTAAGGTTTTTATGTTTGTGTGTTTTATATATACACACACAATTTTTTGTTTAAAATTTATTACATATCTTGCTTGTACCTGTCTATTTTGTAGAGATCCAAATAAAGGCTTTCCCTCCGTTTCCAAGAGATTTTCTTAAAATTAAACACAGAAAAAAATTAAGTTGCTTTGTTTTACAGGAACTAACATAATATTTCTGTTAGAAAACACTTATTCCAGGATTAATTTATTCTTAGTATACATACTTCTTTTTAAAGCTCAACTTTATTAGGAAGAGAATTCTCTTGAAAAATCTACCTTAAGTGGTACTGAATGTTCCCCAGATAAAATGGCTGTAGCATTTGGCTTTCAGATCTGGCTGACTAGGGATCTAGAGGAACGCTGCGTCATATGAATGATAAGACATTCTATGGATTTAGTTGCATTTTCAGTTACCGTTATACAATGCTCAAAAAACATCAAGGTATGTTTACAGGGAGGCTAAAGAAGCACCTTACCCTCAGATTTGCACTACTGCATTTGACTGGAGTTTAACAAAAATATTTTGAAAACAAAATTCCCAGCCTTTCCTCCCTGAAGGCATTGGTTCTGAGGGGTCACTGAAGAGAAAACAAGCTATTAAAATAAGAAATCAAATCAACTCAATTAAGTAAAAAGATACCAATTCAAACGCTTTTGTGCTGCAGTTGCTTTTCAGAGACAAATCAGTACACTTCAAGATCTTGGAATTTGTTTTGTTGCTTTTGTGGGTTTTTATTAGTTGGGACATTTTTGGTCATTTGTTTGTGGGTATCTGGTTGGTCGGGTTTGGATTTTTTTTGGTGTGGGGGGGGGGGGGGAAGTGCTGGTTGTGGTGTTTTTTCCCTTAAACCACCTCTAATAAAAAACTAGCGTGTTTTAACTTAGCACTTCCATACATATTGGTCTGAACTGAATGGTTTTTAATAATGCACGCCATGACCAGATTCAAAACCAGCTTGCTTTACAATTTCATGGAAGTCTGCTCTATTTGTAAACAAAAACGAATCCAAGGAAGTGGCATGGCCTAGGATAGGTCACACTATCACACTGATCCCTCTGGTTTCATAATTTTGGCCTGTTAAGGCATCTGAATGTCCTACTCCTGATATATGCCTTCGACATCACATCTGTGAGAACAGCTACTGCATTTGTACACTTGCTGGCAAACTCATCCCTGACAGCCACCAAGGTCTTTGTTTTCATTTGGTATCTAAAATATCTGCAGAGTACTAAGTGCATTAATGTTTCCAGAGCCATGTGCCTTCCAGTCCTCTCCTGACCCATTTGGAAACTCTGATAAAATCCAACACTAAAAAGATACAGTCAGTTTTCATGACTATTCCTGCCTTATCAGCATATTCCCAATCCTCCTAAAAACCTTCTGAACTCTTGATACTCCAGTTGGGTCAAGTCAACTATAGATTTAAAGCAGACTGCACTTGTACCTCAACACTTCATGAAGGAAAAAATGGCATACTTGGCAACTCACATTTATGGAGATGTACAGTCACATGCTCAGTTCTTTCAGCATGCATTTCTGACTTAGCTCTCACTCCTCTCCCTGCCGGGAAGCCACTACAGATGTATTTGCAGCTTCCTGTTTATTAGACAAACTGCCTTGTGTACAAAGTACAGAAATGAAATGAGACTGACTGCTAAACAGGGACCTTATCCCCAAAAATTCAACCATTTTTATGGTAATTAGTTTGCCTTCCAAACAGGTTCATGTCACCGAATGTTCAAGAGTTGGGGTTTTTTTCTCTAATAGGTATCTGCTTAGCAATTTCAGAATAGGAAAGACCATATTTCTTCTACAAATTCCATGAGAATTCTTTGAGAACAGAGACAAAACGAAGTAATGACAAAGGGAGCACCATTCATAGCTGTTAGATGTTTAGCTGTGTAGGAGATGCCTGCTGATCATTGGCAGCCTGAAGATACTCATTAAGCATGCTTAATGTTACAATTAGTAGTGTGGAATCATAGAATGTTTTGGGTTGGAAGGGACCTTCAAGACCATCTAGTTCCAACCCCCTGCCATGGGCAGGGACACCTTCCACTAGACCAGGTTGCTCAAAGCCTCATCCAGCCTGGCCTTGAACACTTCCAGGGATGGGGCATCCGCAGCTTCTCTGGGCAACCTGTTCCAGTGCCTCACCACCCTCTGCAATGAAGAACTTCTTCCTGATATCCAATCTAAATCTCTCCACTTTCAGCTTAAACCCGTTACCCCTTGTCCTGTCACTACAGGCCCTTGCAAAAAGTCCCCTCACAGCTTCCTTGTAGGAACATGAACACTCCCTGCTCTCTCAGATCACACTCAGTGTTGGCACTGTCAAACTCAGTTTATTTTATAGACTATCATCTAAGAAAAACATCCTACTATTTATACTGGATTACAGACTATCATTCTATTACTATATATGTAATTACAAATCATATACAATGTATACTATTACATATTGCTCTTATTTATGTAGAAGTGTTATTATTTACACAAGCAGACTGTATAAAATGCTACAATCAAACAACTGTAATATTTTCAAGACACAAGGAGGAATAAAACCATGTTGTGCTTTACCTATGCACTGGATGGTAAAAGCACATGTGCTCCAGGTCATCACAGGAATCCGGTAGTCAGCTTCATTTGGAGCAACTTTTAGCCCAACTCTATAAATGGTGGTGGCAAAGAGAATAAGCATCTCCTTGATACTGCTTGAATATTTAACTCTGCAAAAGCAAGCCAGACAATTTCAGTCTGAATTATTAATAGTCCTTACTACTTATCAATTAATCAATCATTACCAAAGTTCAGGTTATTTATGAAAGAATTATTGAATACAAAAGGCCTTTGTCTGTACAGAGGAGTAAAACATTATTAGTTTTCAGTAGTAAACAAGTACCTTGACATAACATGCCCCAGAAACTGAGAAATTAAGAGCTGCCAGGCTGGAAGGAGTCTATATCTGTATACCGTGTTATAATTTGCATTAAAAAATGCAAACATTTATATCAAAGTAAAATACAATGAAAAATGCAAATGCACATAAGCAAGTGTAATCGTAAGTGTAAATATATCTCATCTCATAAGGCACTAAAAATGGGAAGAAAGACATTTCAAATGTGTTTTAATACACATTTTTTAGCATTTCATCTCCCTTCAGCTGTCACTGGGTGAGTTTATCTAAGTGCAGTTATATGCAGAAAAGCACCTAGGCAGAAAACACGTACAGTTCTAATGGCTCGGGCTTTTTCAAAGTCACTCACAGAACTTTGTAACAGAAATATACAACATTCATATTAATTCTCCAAACCCCTACAACCAAAACAATCATACCACCAAGTTTGGTGTTAGCCAAGCTCATACTTAAACACAACATTGTTTAAGTGCAAATCTTTCCCTTGAAGATCGGTTATGAAGAAAGTATTTGATTCAACTTCCCGATGACATTTTTACAAATAGCAGACATGTACAAGTACCTCGCATAACCATGATGTCAGTCAGAAGTAGCAGAAGTAGAGTACTTACAGCATGATCTAAAAAGCAGACAGGCAGCTGAGTACACTTGAACAGTATCTATCCACTCATCCTGCTTCTGTGGAAGAACCCTTTCGCCCACGGGAATAGAAAGGCAACACAGCCCTATTCCTCTGAGTAATCTATATTACACTACTGCATCCAAAACCAAGTGAAATCTGTCCTTGAAACAGACATATAGCAGGAAAATTAAGGCAGACAGACATGAAATAACTTGCCTAGAGACACAGGAAGTGACCCAAATCCCTGGAATTGTGGGTTAGAAGATTCCAGACTCCTAGCTTTGTACTAAGAACATAAGAAGTACTGGGCTGGATCTGACCAAGAGGTCGATCTAGCTCTGTATGGATCTGATATTCAATGAATGCTTAAGGAAAAGTACATGCAAGCTCATATTCAGACCAAACAAGTCTCATGTCTTTCCTTCAACAGAAATCCTGAAGTATACCTAGGTTATTTTAGGGAGGATTAACAATGCACAGAGCATGTCCAGTAACACTTACGAGGACTGAACTCCAAAACTAAGGATGGAATGGAATTCCAAAGTAGAGTTTACCATTCCCTTGTTGGTGAAAGCTGGAAGATTTTGTTTGTCTCCTTCTAGGGAAAAAAAAAAAGTAGATACACATTTAAAAAAAGAAAGAAGTTGTTACAGTTTTTACAGCACTCAAATAGAAGTGAGACTTCTTTTTAGTTTAAACTGATTTGAAAAGAACTGTAAACAGACCTCACCAGCCAGACTGTCTTGTAACCCTCCTCCTTAAGTAACACATTCTTCTATTCCCAAAAATAAGAGGATTAGAAGTAGTGCTTTGCTGGTAAGTAAAAAGAACTTCCCTGCATTACAAGAGTGTAAGGAATATGTTGATTCTCTGTAGCTTCCGTTTCATAAACACTCATACATATTTTTATTTTGGCCCTTTTAATTTACTCTTTCTTTTTTTTACATCATCACAGTCAATACAAAAGTTTAATTAACTCTGAGTGTTAGTTGGTGGCTATCTTCTCCAATTGTTCATAATTTTCTTCTGCAGGAAAGACCGAAAAAAATTAACAGAAATTACTTTATCCACAGCTTTATTTGATACTGTCTTGTATCAAATAAATGTAGTTTTTATTTGAAGTGTTCTGTTGGTATTAATTAAAGTATGTACTGGCATATTAGATACCTCACAGAATAGCTTCAAAATTAAGATAACAAACCTTTAGCATTTTTCACACTGTAGCCTGATATCCTGACTATGATAATTTCCAGCCACTTAGCCAGGGACAAAATTTGAGCTACTGCCTCTGCATCCTCACTGAAAACAGAAATAGAAAGCAGGTTTTAATTTAACACTCAAAGAATCACCATATCTTTAAAAACAGAGGACACATTTAGATCAAAACACATCAGCTCAGTATTTGCCATGTTTTGCTTACCTGTTTATTTTTTGAGCCTGCAATGGAACAACAGGAATCACAGTATTGCAGAGAGATTTGCAAAGTGGACACAGATACTCTCCATTCTCCAAGTCGAATATCTGTTCAACATGCAGACGCTGTCGGAAGTTCAGCTGCATGGCTTCGAAGTACCTACAACATTGAAGAGGAAATTACTAGAAAGTGGAATGGCTCAAACGTGACAGGAAAACAAATGCTCAATTAATGAAAAGTGTTATTATCTACCAAACACCTATCCAAGCCAACAAACTAGTCTTTTCTGTTGATTTACAACTCTTTCATGTGCTTGGATGTGAAAATAACATAAAATCACATAAATGCACTCATACAAAAATCATAGAATCACTGGGTTGGAAAAGACCTTAGAGATCATCCAGTCCAACCAGATCTGTCCGCCACTAAACCATATCTCTCAGCACCTCATCCACCCGTCTCTTAAACACATCCAGGGATGGTGACTCCACCACCTCCCTGGGCAGCCTGTTCCAGTGCGTGATAACCCTTTCGGTGAAGAACTTCTTCCTTACGTCCAATCTAAACCTCCCCTGGCGCAGCTTGAGACCGTTCCCCCTCGTCTGATCGATGAGGGGGGATGGCAACTTTTGATGGCAACTTTTCCTTGCTTTACAATCCTTTTAAAAGTCATTAACATTTTTGCAGACAAGGAGTTCTTAAATTTTCTACTCTTCTCTCATAACATCTTCAACCCAATGAAGCACTGTATTCAGTATCTCTCACATGCAACCCTTTACAGTAAGTTTGAGACAGGGATTGTACATCTTATGTAATTTTAGGAAAACCTACCAAAAACAATTAATGAATAAATAATCAGCTATTCAGGGCAAAGATTGAGCCTCATGACCAGACAATGAAACTGTAGCCTTCTTTTAACAGGAAGAGAGGATAATTTATATTGCAACATCACACACGAGCTATTTTAAACTCAAAAGGAAACAAAGAAGTAACTACAATCTTTTTACAGGTTTCATTATAATTTTTCCCCCTCAGTGGATGCAGTAAGCCTTCAAATTTCATTAATGTCTCAGCGGTATTATTAGGAACAAAAAGATCCAACATTCAGATCTTCTTGTCTACATACAAGCAACTAAATCCAGTACCACTCTTCAGACTGGGTATGCAGAACCTTACAGACATATATGAAATTACCTAACTTCTGCACTAAGGTAATAACTAGATTTTTTTAATTATTATTATTATTTAAATCGTTCATCTTAAGGGAAAAAAATAAAATCCCATTTATGTAGTAAGATAAAGTGTGTGTGCAGGGGAATCTGCAAAAGTTCTAATAACTACAGAGTACTTAGGGAAGTATTCTGTTACAGTCAACAAAAACGTACATTTACTCTCTCACATTCAACCAACCATGTTTTGGCAAGCAGCTTCTATTCCTCATACTTGGCAACTAGAAAGATATTCCATTCATTTGAACTCATTTGAACTGTTTTAGAGTATTTTGCAGTATTTTTAGGCTGCACAGATACTCTAGAAAGGTGTGGCAAGCATCATTTGGAGGAATATTAGTAAGTTAGAATGTCTGTTACGTAATAAATAAAAAGACTATACTCAAACCTTCTGTGCCATCCCATATGAGAAGAGCCTGTTGTCCATTTTAATCCCATTTACCCATACAGCAAGTCATCTTTTCTTAAAAAGAGTGAGGGAACTGAGCTCCAATGTTCCACTACTTACATCTACGCAGATGTAGATGGATCTGCCAAGACCAGATGCATTATACTCAAGGAACATACTTTTGCATCATTTTACGTGTGTGCATCTATTTGATCTGTACTGATGTTTTATTGTAAAAAAAATTACATACACACATACAGAAAAGTAAATGAACTAGAACTTTACTCAATTTTTTTAAAGTAAAATGGCACAAGTACAAACAACAAACCTCAAAAGATTGTTTGTATCATACAACAATGTAAAGTAGCTTGCAATTGCATGACCCAACTCTATCTGTTGAGGTGGGCCATTGCCAACCTCATG